GACTGCCACTTCTAAACAATCAGTAATGAGTTTAGAATAAAAACAAATGAGAGTATACATCACAAAACCAAATCTAACCCAAACACATATCAACTAAACAAAATCCAGCTTAACATTTGCAGTTATAAAATATACCCAATGAGTACTAAATGAAAAGCACATGTAAATGGAATAATGTGCACAGACTTTCTTCTCTGTAAGCCCTGTATCATTTAACAAATGATACAAATGATGTTGGACGGGATTGTTGAAAGAAAGAACTATGTCTGCAGTAGTATTGTAAGCAAATCTAAAAAATCTAAACAACATATTGGCCACTTCATTATTGAGCATGTCTGAAAGATCTGAAAGACAGATCATCTCCTGACAAACAGCAGGAAAACAACTGCTCTGAATTTAGAAAATTAATGATCTGAATAATTTCACATAAATCACATGAGATCCTGACACAAAACTCTAACAATAGCACAACTCCAACGATGCACCTCAACAGAACACATGATGAACATCCATTGGTTCTACTCACAAATCACAGTAAGGGGTGCTGTCTGAAAGAGTCATAAACAGCATGAAATAAACTCCTTTAAAGCAGGGTTCAACGATAAGCATGACCTGCTGACCCTGGCCAGTGTGAACGAGTTTAGGACCACTTGACGCAATTGATACTTGCCCTATCAGGTCACAGCTGCATTGCCATTACATCTTACATTTGTTTTTATGCTTTGAAGACTTGTTTTGACCATTTCTATTGCAAATTCTGATCATTTACAGTTGTTTTTTGTCACCAGGGTAAAATGTTTTCTAGCTGGCTACAATAGATTGTAAGCAATTTCTCTGAAATTCCCAGAATCAGGAAACATAATTCAGAAGAAACAACCTGGTCTCATAAGAAGACATAATATTTGCACAAGACATTGTACATTTGCATAAGAAATTGTAGTTGGTTTGTACAAAAACATAAGACCTAAACCTAACCCTAGCCATAAAGTCCAACCCTTTACCAAAACTCTAGTCTTGCATAGACTGACGGCTGAAGGTCTGGGAACCTTGGCCGCTTTGAATGGCCAATGATCGCCCAAGAGGCCATATGACTGACAGGCATCTTTGTTTTCAGGCAGAACTTTAAAGAACGTGACACACACATCTCTCGGAAATACCGTAGAATTTAACCGATCAGATGACGACTTCGAAACTCCTAAAGTGTTTCCAATTTTGTCTGCCATATGCATCAGACATTCATCAGACATTTTTGTCTGGGACAAAAAGTTGCGATTGAACACATCGCAAAGACTACAGCCAACTGCCAATTATCATGTACGTTCTGCTCCTGTGTGAGAGGAAAAAAACATCTGTACCAGCAGGTGGCAGTAGTCTATATTCATCTGCTGTGACATCACAATTTTGTTGCATTGTGTATAGCTGCCTGAAGTGTACACATGAGTAGACCAGCTCCCTCAGTCCAAATCAAGGGGTCAAGGATCTGCACTTCCAAATTGCGGCTGAGGGTAAGCGATTAAGAAATTTTGCAAGGGTGTGTTTAAGAGTGAAGTGGAACGCACCCTCTGCGGAAATAGAATCTGTAAGCAATGAAGGAATTGGTTATCATTTTGAATATGAATTATGCTGCTCAGTTGCTCTTTACTTTCTTCATTCCAGTCGGACTTAGCGTGTCATGGCCTTTGCATTGCATTTACGGCTCATATGAGTGGCTTTAAAAAGTGGGCTGCAGAAGACGCCCATGAGCACAGGTGGCAGATTTCACAGTTGAGTAATTTTGGAGGGTTCTGAACCACCGCAATGAATGGGAATGCTAACACCTAGCTTTCTCCATGTATATTAATCCTCTTTGGTCAAGACGTACTGTAAAAGTCAAAGGAAAGGCCCTGTTACAGGCCTTAAAGGGATATTTTGTGCTAAGCCTACGTCCTACGTCATCCGCTGGAACGTCACTCTCTCGTGTACACGCATACGACAGTTAGCGGAAGCTAGAGTATACGGTACGTAAAGTTTTAAATATGGATATTTTTCTTTAAAAACCCATCAATTTGCTTCAGGGGGTTTTTATTAACCCCTGAAGCCGCGTGAGGCACTTTTTTTATGAAGGATAGATGCACTTTATTGGACTTCTATTGGACTATTGAATACCAACAGCCATTCACTGCCATTATAAAGCTTGGAAAAGCCAGGACATTTTTTTATATAACTCTGATTGTGTTCGTCTGAAAGAAGAAAGTCATATACACCTAGGATGGCTTGAGGGTGAGAAAATCATGGGGTAATTTTCATTTTTGGGTGAACTATCCCTTTAATGCTCTGTAGAGTTAAAACAGTGGATGCATTAGAAATGGAGCTGTAAATGAAGCGCTTGAATCAGCATCAGTTCCAAGAACCAGGCTAAAATCTACCAAAACTTCCTGTTGCCCATGAAATTGATGTCAGAATGAAATGTCAGTGGAAAGTAGAATGTCATATACTGGAAATCATATTTTACACTAAAGATAAGAGCAACGGCTAGAGAAGAATTCCAGAAACTCTCCAGCTAAGATGACTTGATCATAAGTCATGCAGCGGATACCCAGAGAAATCTGACAGCAGAGGGAGAATGTGCTATATGGACTGCCTCACATATGGTAAAAACATCAAACATACACTCAAGAACAAAGGCATTTTTCATGACATGTTTAAAACATGATAGTTGTTGCATTTCATTAATGTCTGACACAGAAGCACCGTATGTTACATGTGCATGAATGAGTTAGACTGAATGTGACAGATAATATGAACCTCCCACCACATAAATTCTATACAGAGCAGATGTGGGAATTCTAGACACACCTTGAATGAGAACCAATACGTTTAGACTACTTGATTGAAACAAAAAGCCAAAAAAGTGCACATGCTGGTCCTTCATGTCATGCATACTCAATGCCTCAAAACCTAAATTTAAGTGACGATTTTACATTGCAGGAACAGACCACCAACATTACAGTATGTATGTTAGAAATAAACACAGGAACTATCCAATATTAAAAACTCTAAACATCTACAGTCAGTAAACTCAGTGACATCCAATCAGGCACAATGCCATTCAACTGAGGTTGGAATCAAATACAAAACATATAGAATTGTGCAAACAATGGCTTCTGATTTACTACAGTAAAATAAACCGACTCAGACCAGTTATATGTTGTTGATCAAAGGCTCCTCCATATGTCATCCGAATATTGTTAACTCTGGCAAATAAGGACCACACTGCTCCTAAAAATATAGTACCTGTAGCCTCTTTCACCTCTGACTCATGGAAAACTCCAATGGGTTGTAACATTAGAGGTCTATTTATCCAAGTCCTGTCAAGTATCCTCAAATTTTATTGCAAGGCAGTGTGAGGTCTTTGGACTTCAATGAACCCATGTGCTCATGTAACGTACAGGGTTATGACACAGATGTCAAGACCAAGGTAAAACTGAACAGACATTTTGCAGATGCACATTTCACATGCTGATCAGGCACTAAAATTCATGAATGAAAAATCTGACTTACCTGCAGACTGTGCTTGTGCAAACCTCAGACAGCACGTACAGTAAAGAACCATGCAGAGAAAGACAGCTCTCCTGTAAAAAAAGAGAAAAGAATTACATATACAAACTGAACAGATCAAACATTTAGCTGACATTGAAATGTGATTTTACAATGACTCTTGGCAACTTCACGACTCAAGCAATAATATAAACAGTAGAGACAACTTAGTAGCATGAATTTGACACATGTAAAATAGGACTGGAACTAAAGTGATTTATTTCCAGTCATTTTGATTCAACTTTTTCTAAAGTTAATTTTCAGCCATTACCCACAGTTGTAAACCACTGCAGAATTACCCAGACAATGCATTTGAAATAAAAACAGTTTTACATAATACCATTCAAATGTTTGAGGTCGGTACATTTATGCTTTTGAAAGAAATTACTTATGCACACCAAGCCTGCATTTATTTTTATTTAAAAACAGTAATATTGTGAAATATTATTACAATTTAGACTAACCGTTTTCTGTTTTAATACATTTTAAATGGGTCATATGATGCTATTTCAAATTTTTCCTTTCTCTTTGGACTGTTACAAGCTCTTGGTGCATAAAGAAGATCTGTAAAGTTGCAAAGACTAAAGTCTCAAATCCAAAGAGATATTCTTTATAAAAGTTAAGAGTCAACCACGCCTACCTAAAACGGCTTGTCCTAACACGCCCCCACATGTCTACGCCATTGTGTGGGAAGATTTGCATAACACCGCCCAAATGTTCACGCAAAGAAAGAAGACGTAACTTTTATTCTCGCTGTAGTATTGTTGACGCTGCAGCCATGTCCTGAAGACGCTGTGTGCTTCGTTGTGAAAGCGAAACTACTTTGTTCGG